GCGGTTTAAAAAACCCAGTACATCCTTCGAGAAGAGTAGGGGGTTACCCCGGTGTACTGGTCCAATCAGTCCCCTCCTATTGTTTGGTAAGATTTGCTATTTATAGTGGTTAGGGTTAATGCAATTTTCAATGTTTTCTTTCTGTCTTGATGACCCCAATGGAAATAGGTTAACTTGTGAACTTTCTTGGGTATATTCCTCAGTTCATTCAGTTGATATTGTTCTTTGTACTTTTTATCTGTTTCAGTGCTTTTGTAATGTTTAGTTTTTATCTCTCTGAATGAACTGAATAAATTGAAATGAAATGAAATTAAATGTTTAATGGATATGCCACCTAGGATAGTGATTAAGTTCGCTGATCGGTATATACTTGGCGCTCGTGCCTAAAGAAATGAAATGAAAGGAAATATATTTAATACCGTTAATGTAGACTTTAAAATATCTGAACTCCTTTTCTGTTTCTGGAGTTTAATTTGTTTTTTTTTTATTCATTTTATTTTATCTATACAACATTACAGTCTTTTCTTTCCTTTTAATTCTCCCCTTTCAATCCCTTTTCTCTTTTCGTTTATTTTCTCCTTTCTTTCCTTCTCTTTTCCTTTATTCCTTTTCTTTCTTTTTGTTTTATTATGAAAGATCATTTACATAGTAACTTTGACAAGGGGTGAGATTTCCCCGACGAAAGCAAAGTGGGCGTAGTCGAGCTTCGATTAAAAGGTTTCGAAAGTGGTTCAGTGGGCGAAGCCCCCGAAAATGTTGACAATTTAGGGGTTTCAATTGCTTGTTTAATTGATTTTAGAGTCTATTAATATGTAGAAAATACATATAATTTTTTTTTTCTCCACGACGAATTGTGCTTTATCTTTCCGACAGGAGGCCAGCTCGGTCAACGGATTGACTTTGAGTCCGACAGGAGTTCTTTGGTTGCTATACTATCCTGTACTATTTAGCGTTTATAATCGTTATTGTTTTTGAATTGGCTACATAGTGAGCCCTCTGCCGGCTAATTTACTCAAAAGACTTCATCGAATTAATGAATGTCTACTGTACCTACTTGTACCGTACTTGTTAAACAATCAGTCAGCGTTGGCGGAATTCAACAATAATCTTCGAATTAATAAAATTTTAATAAGATAGAAATTCGATATTATTGAACGTTATAAGTACAAGATTTACCGGGCATCTCTGAGCATCACTTAAGTGTTTGATGAATTCCGATAGATTATGGAACTTTTGAAAGAGTTCACACTATGGTACAGTACGTCTGTTTCATCAAAAGGCCGACGAATGAGAGCAGAATTAAGTTGTAAATACCTTTTGGCAATGAGTCTTTAGACTCCATAAAATCATGCAGAAGTTGTCATTATGAAAGCTGTTCTATGCGACAGAATTGTGATAGAGCTTAGAACAGTGAATATGCACTTAACCCGTATTAAGGTTCATTCACATCGAATCCCGAATTTACGGTTTCAATAGCCTACTGATGATCCGATCTGAAAATTGGACCAGTAGGTGTTTCGTTTAGCGCGTTGGAAACGCGTTTCGCATTTTGGTTCGTATCCGATGTTAATACTGCGCACATTAACCCAACAATATTTAAGAAGAACTTCCCTATAGTTCTCCCATAGGCCTACTCATAACCAAAATGCATAGGCCTACGTCCTGGGCTAGAGATGACTGTGATCCCCATCCCGCTATTGCTGAGCTGCATCATGGAGAACCGAAACAAACTATGCATCCTAGTGTATAGGGATGGTGAATCTACTAATTGTTTGAAAGGCCTATACACCCAACCATCTGAACTATGCATATATACTTCACCCCTAACAGAACCATTTAGGCACTTGGGTATGGACGTTACTCCCCTAAATTCCTTGATGCATACCCCACGCAAGCCAAACATGAATCTTTGGGAGGAGACGTTGACCCACTGTTTAATTTTTACATTATACAGTACTACCCTAACCGAACTATGTATCTTGGGGTAGGACGCTCAATTCTGTCAGCACACGCCTTATAATGCATATTAAAGTTACGAAACGTTGCTTTCGAATTTTTAATGTAAATTTCATTCGTTAAGTGTTTTTGACTGAATAAAAGCAGTAACTATAAATATCAAAAATAATAATAATAATAATTGTCAAAACACAACTTGGTAGCAGACACTGTGCATCATCACAGCTTCGAGCATGCGCACAAGACGTAAATTACCGCTGAATGGTTTTTTTTTTTATAAAACCATTATTATGTCTTCTGAAATGAGCTATTCTGTAGCTATCGGAGATCTGTCAAAACGCAATCCACACATTTTTAACCGACATGCAAGGTCAACTAATTTGTTTTGTCGGCTTCGTATAATAGTCCTGTATATTTGGAATATAAATCTCCAATTCTACTAATAATCGCCAACGATCAAGGAGTAAGAAAGGGATATTGCGTCTATATTGAGTCTTATAATTAATCTACCAATCTCCATGCGTGTCTCAAATTGGGACAATCGGGACAAGTCTCGTCAAAATGGAACTATCAACCATCCTACGTATATGAACTCGGCCTTCTTTTCTGCATTTTCCAAAGCAATAATAAGGCCCTGTCCAGACTATCAAATTTTATTTGACAAAAACATGTGACATGCCTAAATATGGTCATGATGACATCACATCATGACCATATATTATAGGCACCTCATGACTATATATAGGCATACAGTTTTTGTTGAAGATTTGATAGTGTGGACAGACCTTTATATTCACAACAATGATAATTAATAATATACTGATTTAAATATAAATAACATGAATTTATTTTATTTTATTCATTTCGACATAAACATATAACAAATCAACATGGTAAGGTGAGACTAGGAGTAGCAAAAGAGGTTTAAAAAAAACTACTGTCGCCAACAAGACGTGTTACACCAGCACCAAACGCATATGCAGATTTAACAAAAAGGAAAAGAGAGGAAAATAATTAATTTCCATTCATTCATAATAATAATAATATTATCAATAATAATAACAATATCAATAATAATAATAATAATAATAATAATAATAATAATAATAATAATAATAATAATAACAATGATGATGAAGCATGTCTATGAAATTATGATTCAATTCTTATAAAAGAAACAAATAAGTTTTATTAGCTCTACATCTGTTGTTTTTTACATAAATTAGGAAAAACTATTAGGCATATAGATTAGACCTATACATCAGCATATGAATGGAATTGAATAGCGTGGTGGTTAAAATGCTCGCCTTCCAATCTCAGGGTCTTGGTCAAATCCTGTCAAATTCAAGGATTTTTTTTTTCTCACGAAAAAACAACTCCACTCCACAAGCCTCGCTATAAAATTAAAAATATTAATTTATAATTTATTCATAAATTAACAGATAGGACAGTGTTAAAGTCGCTATTGGTAATCCTTGGCCATGTGTCTAAAAGAATAAAAATAAAAAATAAAATAATTGTGGCACTTTCAAAAGTATTTGCACCAGATGGTTGCGTCAGGCCTATATTAACCCAACTGAGTAATTTGAATTTTGAGACCTTCACAAGTACTGTATTCTGGGATACGTGGCCTACTTTGTAAACCGGCCTTCGAGCCCAACGAGTTGAGTATCCACTTGACCCATATATATTCACAATTTAACTGAACAGCCGACTTCATATTAATCCGCCTCACCATAGGAAGCAATTCGGTTCCGTATGACTTTGACAAGTTTTCGTATTTGTAATATTTACACTTTGTTAATTGTATTTGACAGTACCACAGCATAACCAGGGATTAACACATCCTTCTTTATATGCGGACACTTCGGGGGGCTAATTATTCTTTATTAATGCAGATGTTAATACAAAGTTCAATGACGAATAATTTTGAATTATGTAATTATAGATATGAAATAGGTTATTAACTGTAGCAAATCAGTTTAGTGCCCTTTGAGAATCGGCTTGGTAAAATTCCGAATTCTATCAATCCACAATTTGTTTGCCTGCCTTTTTTATCTAACAAATTTTGAAATGACTATATTGACCACATGCAATTAATTAAAAAAACAATTGATAAATATATTATAGAAAGTATTCTAAAAAATGACAAATAAATTAATAGCAAAAATGAGTATTATTATTGATATTATTATTGATATTATTAATATTTTTATTATTATTGTTATTATTATTATTATTATTATTATCATTATTATCATCATCATCATCATCATCCATCTCAATTATTATCATGATTAATATCATTATTTTTAACATTATATTAATACACATGTGTAAAGGTTATACGACATGCCCCACACCCCATGTTGTTCGAAATACACCGGATATGCCTAGGCCTATTGTATTATAAATTACATATAGATCTGCGAAACGACGGTTGTGTTTCGTGTTCCGCGATGCTTAACATTGTTATATATAATATTTCCTGTATTAAATGCTACAAGCCACTTGTGCCCGAGGTTATCCTACGTCAACGATAAGAGAATTACGGTACACTACTACTGTAAATAGGTCTACTTAAATTATTGATAAATGATTTACAAAATAGTCGTGTTTCTATCTGTTAATTTATGAATAAATTTTTTTAAATTTATGGTAATATAATTTTATCAAATATATTTCGTCCACACGAAAGAGTGATGCAAAAGTATTTAATAATCTAACAACTTATTTTATCCTCTTTTATGTTAAATTGGAAAAAAAGTAATTATACATGATGAACTTCATACGTTAAAACGATGAAATGAGGCTCACCAAACGAGAAGCTACCACCGAAAGAGGCGCATGTTGGATCATTATGGTAGCTATAGGCCTTAGCATATTCATGTAGCTCATAAGAATTTCGTGAGAGAGAACGAGAAGCGTGTTGATAGAAGACAATAATCATGTTGTGATGTGTAATTATACGTAATGCAAAAC